AAAGAAAGAAAGAAAGAAAGAAAGAAAGAAAGAAAGAAAGAAAGAAAGAAAGAAAGGGCATGATAGACACAAGAGTGAGCAGAGGATACCTCTGGCGGAGGGCGGCAGGGAGATGGGATAAGGGAGGAACACACAGGACCTAGCCTCTCGGTGCTAGGCGTGTTCCCCTTAAGTAGGCAGGTGTATTCACGGGGAGTGATTTTATTATCACGTTTTCACAATTACGTGCATTCCATACGTTTTGTGTATATTACATATTATATGCAATTAATTACAAAATAGATAATTTAAGTCATGCAAATAATTTAAAAACCTTGGCTCCCTCAACATGTTAACTCCTGAGCGTGCCTCCCCCAGGCCCTCCTAATCTGGCCTCAATGCATTTGTCGCTCCTTAACGTCGGGCTTCTGCAGCGAGGTCGGATGGCACACCCCCGCCTCCGTGCCTACTGGCCCGCGTGGCCTTCCAGCCAACGGATGACCTCCGCCGCCGCCCTCCCCCGCCTTTCCCGGGCCTCCAAGCGCCCCCGTTCGCGCCCTCTCTGTTCCCTCGGCGGTGCGCGCGGCGCCCCGCGCGCCCCCGCCGTTGGCCGCGCGCCCCGCGTTCCGGGATTCGCGCCCCTCCGTCCGCGGCTCCGCCGACCTGGGGCAGAGCCGCCTGGGCCGCGCCGGCGCCGAGCCGCAGCCGCAGCCGCGGGATGGGCCTGAGCCCGGCCGCCCCCGGGAAGAGTAGGCTCCGCCTCTCCCGCTCCCCCGGACCCCGCCCCAAACCCGCGTCCGGAGCCGCAAGTACGCGGCCCAGCCGTGACCCCGTCGGCCCGGGCGCCGCCGCTGCAACCGGGCCCCTCCCCACCGAGCCGCCGCGCCCGGGCCTGGAGGCCCTACTGGGCGGTTCTCGGACCCCCGCGCCGAGAAGTCACCAGAGTTGTCTTCCAGGCCCCTTCTCGTAGCTACGTGTTGATGGCGCGAAATGCCGGTTGACCGGAACGAGTGCACGCTCGGGAGGGAGCGTTTGATGTTCATGTCACCAGCGCGAGCCCTGCGACTCTGTTTGGGGGCGGAAGGGTTAGCGGGGTGGCAGTCCCGGGCAGGCGGAGTTGAGAACGGCTCTAGGCTTCTAGCTCCTCAGAAGCTTCTGCTGCCGGGTCTAGTCCCGGCATTGCTGGGCTCTCCCTCCACCTTCTTCCCCATTCTATCCCGGAGACTTCCAAAGTCTTTCCTAACCGGAGGAGCCGAGACCTCTCCAGCACCTAGTCCCACAGCCCCCTTCGTTTTACCCCCCAAATTGACTGAGGGCTGACCAGGCCAGGCTGGAGCTCGGAGCCACCTTCGCAGAGATGTCCTAGGCGCTGCCTCCAACTCTCCCTTCACAGATTTCACGGTCTGTAGGAGGCAGTTGTGGTTTAAGTAGCATTTTCCCTCCCCTCTCCCCGTTTAGAAATAGCCTCTCAAGCGTTGGTCCAGCTCTCTCCCAAGCACCTGCAGCAGGGAACCTCAGAACTGGACAGAAGCGTCCAGGAGGGGTAAGAGTCACCCTACGGAGGGACTGGCTTTTAGGGTGGGGGGAGCCTTTTGAAGAACCGACTTTGACGGCAGCTCTTATAATTCCGGAGGTGGTTTTCAGAGGCACCAGCCTACCACTAACCAGTAACCGGAAGGCTCGTGTGCGCCTGATAATAACCAGATTGTGACCAGGGCTTGGGGCCACTGACAGGACCTGCCTTGCGGCAGCTCTAGTCAGTGTCTTGCCCAGAGCCCTAAGGACAGAATCGCTTTAGAAGAATGCTTACAATGTGGCCAGTTGGTCTCACTAATGAATGATGAGCTCTTCTTGCAAATTTCCTTAATTCACTTTAATTGAAAACACGGTTTGCTTCTTTTGAAGATTTTAAGGGTCTAAAAGTTCCCCAAAGAGCTATGTTGAAAAGGAGGGGTTCTGTCCACTCCCATACACTATACTTTGGAGAAGGGGTGAAGCATAGGGAAAGGTCAAGAAAATGCCATTTTTTTGGTTGGTGATGTACCAGACGTGTACATATGGTCTCTCATTTAACTCTCCTGGGAATTCTGAGAAAAATACTTTCTTCTCTGTTTTATAGATAATCAAACTGATGTTCAGACAGATTTATTTACTAGCTCAAGGTTGGACAGCAAATATCAGAGCCAGGATTCAAACCCAGGTCTTTTTTTTTTTTAAGATTTTATTTTTTGGGGGGGCACCTGGGTGGTTCAGTTGGTTGAGTGTCCCAACTTTGGCTCAGGTCATGATCTCACTGTTCGTGAGTTCGAGCTCCCTATCAGGCTTTGTGCTGACAGCTCAGAGCCTGCTTCAGATTGTCTCCTTCTCTCTCTGCCCCTCCCCCACTCACACTCTGTCTCCAAAATAAACACTAAACATTTTTTGTAAAGATTTTATTTTATTTTTATTTAAAAAAATTTTTAAGTTTATTTATTTATTTATTTATTTGACAGAGACAGAGACAGCGTGAGTGGGGGAGGAGCAGAGGGGCGGGGGGGGGGGGGGGCGGAGAGAGAATCCCAAACAGGCTTCATACTGTCAGCACATAGCCGGATGCAGGGCTTGAACTCACGAGATCATGAGATCATGACCTGAGCTGAAACCGAGAGTTGGATGCTCAACTGAGCCATCCAGGCTCCTCAAATATATATATACTTTTTTTTGAAGTAATCTCCAAACCCAATTTAGGGATTGAACTCACAACCCTGAGATTAGGAGTCACGTGCTCCTAAGGCTCTACCGACTGAGCCAGCCACGTGTCTTTTTGACCCCAATATATTTCACCACACTATCCCAAAGCCTATTCCTGCCTTTGGTTTCAGCCCTCTCCTGCAACATTTTGTTTAAGGGACAAAATCTACTGATTTCTTTCATGACACTTGCAGTTACACTGTTGTGGCCTAATGAGATTTCTCAGAAATATGGAGCAAGTTGTTGGAAGAAACAGCTCAAGAGTTCAAGGGGCTTGCCTCTCACAGCTGGACCAGAAGAGAGAAGGGAGGGAGCAGAGTTCTACTGCATTTCATTAGAAGCCATTATGTACTATTACCAGTTTTTTATTAAAAAAAAATTTTTTGTTTCAACATTTATTTATTTTTGGGACAGAGAGAGACAGAGCACGAACGGGGGAGGGGCAGAGAGAGAGGGAGACACAGAATCGGAAACAGGCTCCAGGCTCTGAGCCATCAGCCCAGAGCCCGACGCGGGGCTCAAACTCACGGACCGCGAGATCGTGACCTAGCTGAAGTCAGGCGCTTAACCGACTGCGCCACCCAGGCGCCCCCTATTACCAGTTTTTTAAAGCTATGTGCAAGTGTCCCTTTGATAAGTAAGAAAGATTATCAGCAATTTAAAAAAAAATTCTGAGAGCTACTCATTGCTATCATTAGCATTTTAAACAATCGTCTGAAAAGCAGTAAATGGCAGTGATTTCGTACGACAGCTAAATGCGCGATCAAATGCGCGATCGCAAAAACAAACCTTGGGGAAAATGTTTCCTAGAATCTGAAAATTGAAAGGTATCTTAAAATCCCACATCTGAAGTGATGCAGAATTTCCAGTATTTGTGAAATAGTGTGATTTGTTAACTACGTGATCCCAACATTCATTTAGGGAGGAGCCCGGAGTTAACTTGGAGACCACACCCAGCCAGAAAAGAGCAGAGTCACATTCAACCCCGAAGCCTGAGAGCACAAGCAAGTTAGCAAAGCAAGCCGCCAAGGTGGGCATCCCAAGAATTCTTAGCGCGTATCTTTAACGTGCCTGTGGCTTCTCTGCAGACTGTGTTTTACTTTATTTAGACTGTGTGGCAGGTTGAACTGCCTAGCGACTTGGGTTGTTGGATATGCCTTCAAAAATTCTTTAAACACAGCTTTGTTGAACTCTTCATTGAACTTTATTGAGGTGTAAATGACATGCAATAAATTGCACATATTTAGAATATATAGAGTTGGATGTGTTGTGACATATGGGTGCACCCATGAGACCATCACCGTAATCAAGATAATGAACATCTCCATAACTCACGAAACTTTGTTTCCCTTTGTAAATCCCGCCCCCCCCTTCTCACCTGCATCCCCAGGAATCTTACCTGATCTGCTTTATGTCACTGTATATTAATTTGCATTTTCTAGACATTTATGTAAAGGAAATCATATCGTACATGCCCTTTTTGTCCATCTCCTTTCACATGATTTCATGTAATTATTTAAAGTTGTATCCAGGGGCGTCTGGGTGGCTCAGTCAGTTAAGTGTCTGACTTTGGCTCACGTCATGATCTCGTGGCTCGTGAGTTCGAGCCCCGCGTCGGGCTTTGTGCCGACACCTCTTCAGATTCTGTCTCCGTCTCTCTCTGCCCCTTCCCCCGCTCACTCACTGTCTCTCTCTCAAATATAAATAGACATTAAAAACAATTAAGTTGTATCCATATTGTTGGGTGTTATTAATAGTTGATTCCTTTTGGGGCGCCTGGGTGGTGCAGTCGGTTAAGCATCCGACTTCAACCAGGTCACGATCTCGCGGTCCCTGAGTTCGAGCCCCGCGTCAGGCTCTGGGCTGATGGCTCAGAGCCTGGAGCCTGTTTCCGATTCTGTGTCTCCCTCTCTCTCTGCCCCTCCCCCGTTCATGCTCTGTCTCTCTCTGTCCCAAAAATAAATAAACGTTGAAAAAAAAAATTAAAAAAAAAAAAGTTGATTCCTTTTTACTACTGAGTAGTATTCCATTTTTTTTCATTCACCTCTTGATGGGCATTTGAGCTGTTCCCAGTCTCTGGCTCTTACAAATAAAGCTTCTATGGACATTTGTGCACAAGTCATTGTACAGACACATGCTGTCTTTTCTCTTGGGTGAATATGTAGGAATGAAATGGCTAGATCATACGGTAGATGTACGTTTAACCCACTGTTTTCCAAACTGATTGTGCCATTTTACATTCCCACCAGAAGTGTGTGAATGTTCAAGTTCCTCCGTGTCCTCGTCAGCATTTGGTATAGTTAGTGTCTAATGTTAGTTATCCTAATAAGTATGTAGGGATGTCATTGTGGTTTTAATTTGTATTTCCCTAATGACTAATGATATTGCACATCTTTTCATGTGTTTATTTGCCATTCACATATATCCTATTTGGTGAAGTGTCCAAATCTTTTGCCCATTGTTTGCCTTGGGTTTGTGTGTTTGGGAGTTCTTCAGACATTCTGTGTGCAAGCCCTTCATCAGATACGTGCTTTGCAGTATTCTCTCTCGAGCAGGGGAGTGGGGCAGAGGGAGAAAGAGAGAATATCAGGGCCTGATCCCACCACTCCAGGATCACAACCTGAGCTGAAATCAAGAGTTGGACACTTAGCCGACTGAGCTACTCAGCTACCCCTAGATATTTTAAAGTTTTAGTTTTTTTTTTTTTTTTTTACATTTACATTTACGTCTTTGATACATATTGAGCTATATGGTGTGAGGTACAGATTGAAGTTTTGTTTTGTTTTGTTTTCCTTATGAATATCCCGTTGTGCTGGCACCCTTTGTTGAAAAGACCATTCTTTCTCCATTGAGTTGTCTTTGTACCTGCGTAAAACCCAGTTATCTATGTACTGTAAGTCTCTCCCGGAGCTCTCTATTTTGTTCTGTTGATCCTACTTGTCTATTGTGGGGCTAGTACCGTACTATCTTGATTACTATAGCTTTATAATAACTCCTAAAATCAAGTGATGTTAGTCCTCCAACTACAGAGGACTCTACAGAAAGCCCTCCGGGATTTTGATGGGAATCACATCAAATCTTTAAGAGAATTGATGTCTTAACAATATTGAGTCTCCTGTCCCATGAGCAAGATGTGCTGTTTATTTCTGTCATTTCCCTCAGCAATGGTTTATAAATTTCAGCATACAGATCTAGCACCTCTTTTGAAAGATTTTCAGATCTTTGGTCAGCATTTAATATTTTTTGGTACCCCTGAAATAGCTTAAAAATTTTTTTCAGATTTCAATTTTGAAAATTTAAACTGAAAAAAATGTTAATTTCTGACCGTTTGTTGCTAGTAATCGGAAATACTTTTTAAGTTTATTTATTCATTTTGAGACTGCACGCGTGTGAGACAGGGCATGAGCAGGGGAGGGGCAGAGAGAGAGGGAGAGAGAGAATCCCCAGCAGGCTCCATGCTGTCAGCATGGAGCCCAGGATGGGGCTTGATCCTATGAACCATGAGATCATGACCTGAGCGGAAATCAAGAGTCAGACGCTTACCCAACCGAGCCCCCTACAATTGACTTTTGTAGATTTACCTTCAACCTTACTTACTTGCTTTAGTACCCTTTGGGGGGTAGATTCCAATAGACCTTTTACATAGGTGATCACATCATCAGCAAATAAAGACGGTTTGGCATTTTCTTTTCTAATCTGGATGCCTTTATTTATTTTTTGTCTTCAATTGCACTAGCTGGGAATTTCAGTACAATGCTTAATAGCAGGGTGGCAGCAGATGTTTGTCTCATTCTTCAACTTAAAGGGAAAACATCCAGTCTTTACCATTTAACATGATGTAAGCTTTAGGTTTTTCATAGAGCCATTTTATCAGATCTTTTTATCCCTTTTTAAATTTGTTGAGAGCTTTTTTTTTTTTTTTAAATCAGGAATAGACATTGAACTTTAACGAGTGCTTTTTCTGCACCTATTGAGATCACAGTTTTCCTTTTTTAGTTTGAATTACACTGAGTGGTGCTCAAATGTTCTAACAACCCTGAAATACCGGGTTGGTGGGGGGGGGGGGAACCCGCACATGGCCATGATGTATCCTTTTTATACATTGTTTGATTCGATTTATAGAATTTGGCTTAGAATTTTTTTATTTATATTCATAAAGGATATTGATCTGTGATTTTATTTTCTTGTAATTGTCTGGTTCTGTATTAGGGTAATGCTCGCCTTGTGGATTGAGTTTGGAAGTATTCTCACTTCACAATATTCTGTGTAGAATTCATATCATTTCTTCCTTTCATGGTTGGTAGAATTTACCAGTGAAGTCATTTGGGCTTAGAGTTTTCTTTGTGGGAAGAATTTTAATTACAAGGCTACAAGAATTTTAACTACAAACCCTTGGTAGATATGGGCTGGTCACATGATCTGTTTCTTCATGAGTGACCTTTAATGGCTTGTGTCTTCAAAGAATCTCTGCCATTCTTATAATTTATCAAATTTATGGGTATAAAGTTGTTTGTAATATTCCCTTACTGCCCATTTACTATCTGCAGAATGTGTAATAATGTCATCTCTCTCATCCCTGATATTGGTAACTTTTGTCTTCTCTTTATTTTTCTAATCAGTTTGGTTAGAGTTTTATCAATTTTATTGGTTTTCTCGAAGACCTCGCTTATATTTCATTGATTTTCTTTTATTTTCTATTTTCTGTATCTCTGCTGCTGCCCCATTTGTTATCATTTCCTTTCTTCTCCTTACTTTGGTGTTATTTCACAATTATTATTTATTTATTTGTTTATTTTTTTGAGAGAGAGAGAGAGAGAGAGAGAGAGAGTGTGTGTGTGAGAGAGAGAGAGTAGGGGAGCGGTAGAGGGAGAGAGAGAGAATCTTAAGCAGGTTCCATGCCCAGGGCAGAGCCTGACATGGGGTTCAAACTCTCGACCATGAGGTCATGACCTGGGTTGAAATCAGGAGTCGGTGGCTTAACTAACTGAGCCACCCAGGCACCCCTCACATTTCTTTGTTAATGTCTTAAGGTGGAAGTGGAGGTCATTGACTTCAGACCTTTCTTCCTTTCTATTATAGGCATTTATGACTATAAACTTCCCCGTTTAACACACTTCATATGGTTTGAATCCATTTGAAATTTATTGAGACTTGCTTTATGGCCCGAAATATGGTCCATTTTGGTAAATGTTCTGTTAGCTCTTGAGAAGACTGTGTATTTTGCTATTATTGGATGGGGTATGCTATAAATATCAGTTAGGTCAAGTTGGTTCATAGTGTTATTCAGGTCTTATGTTGATATTTTTCTATTAATTACATAGAGGAGTATGAAATTTCTGAATATGATTATGGATCTGTTTCTTTTTCCTTACAGTTTTATCAGTTCATTCTTGATGAATCATGGGGCCTGTTATTAGACATGTAGACAGTTAGGGTTATTATTTATTCTTGATAAACTGATTCCCTTATTATGAAATTACTTTCTTTTTTTTTTTTAATTTTTTTTTTAACGTTTATTTATTTTTGAGACAGAGAGAGACAGAGCATGAACGGGGGAGGGTCAGAGAGAGGGAGACACAGAATCTGAAACAGGCTCCAGGCTCTGAGCTGTCAGCACAGAGCCCGACGCGGGGCTCGAACTCACGGACCGCGAGATCATGGCCTGAGCCGAAGTCGGCCGCTTAACCGACTGAGCCACCCAGGCGCCCCTGAAATTACTTTCTTTATCACTAGTAATATTCTTTGCTTTGAAATCTACTTTGTCTGATAGTATAGCCACTCTAGCTTCCTTTCTTTTTTTTATGTTTATTTTTTATGTTTTTATTTATTTCTGAGAGAGAGAGAGAGGGACTGAACAGGAGTGGGGTAGGAGCAGAGAGAGAGGGAGACACAGAATTCGAAGCAGGCTCCAGGCTCTGAGCTGACAGCAGAGAGCCCGATGCGGGGCTCGAACCCATGAACCATGAGATCATGACCTGAGCCAAAGTCGGACTCTCAACCAACTGAGCCACCCAGGCGCCCCGGTATAAC